CGAAAAACCGACTCGGTTTGGCTCGGACAGGGTGGAACCGGCTCAAAACTAGTTTGGTTGGTTGTAAAGGCCGAGTACAGCAATATCAAGGACATGATGACGGACATTCTCAACCAGCGCTACCCAGCGTTGACGACGGACGCGGCGCCGAAGGCGGCGCCGCGTGGCGGCATTAACATCCTCTTTGACATGGTCTACGCGCCCAACGCTCACGACGGCGCCACCTCCGAGGTCGACCGCTTCCTGCTTGAGCCGACTCAGGACCTGAGCACGGACGTCGTCGAGTGGTGGAAGTACCCGCGCCTACGACGCGTGGCCCTCGACTATTTGCCTATCCCGGCGTCGTCCGTGCCCTCCGAGAGAGCAAACTCGGCCGCCAAGCGCTCCTTTCTCGACCGACCAAACCTGCACAAGTGCACGTTCAAGGCCGAGATGTGTGTGCGCTCGTGGGCGCGGATGTTGCCTAGTGTTGGGGTTTCACTGCCATTGAACTACCACACTGCGTTCAAGGACATTGGGCGTGCCAAGCTTGAGGAGATGGCTGTGGACGACATCGTCGTCCAGTACTTGCTAGTGAATCTCAATATGAAGAAAGCCTGCGTAGAAATTAGCGATTAATACACTTGATATTTGTATTGAATGCGAATATTGTTTGCCGCGCATCTTTTCGGTTCAAGCCAACTCAAGAGGTTTGGTTTAGCTTAGTTTGGTTTGGTTTTGGTTTGGTTTGGTTCAGTCGTCGCTGGTTTGGTTTGGTTTGCTCAATTTGAAACCAGTTTGCGTCGGTTCAAACCGTGCCGACCCCTAGATGGAACTGACGACCTCCTGCACCCCAGGCAGTGGAGTCGACATCGCCTAGCCACTGCCATGATGATGGTGAGCGAGAGACGAGAGGAACGGAGGGATAGCACGTGGCTGAGAAATGGTGGAGGAGAGGGGAAAGCCATTTGAGAAACAAAGACGAAGCCAAACCTGGAGATACATTGCGACACGTACGTTTTTAACAATTTATAGTTGTGTTCTAGACATTTTATATTTTTGTATATTTTAATTTTAAAGTTATGTCTTGGATGACGTCCCCTCTGCCCGCTTCAAGCAAATTGCTCGTGACGTCATCACACAGCCACCAAACCATCCCAGGTCTCGTGACGTCATCCCGCCTTCTCACCAACTCGCCCAATCTCGCGTGACGTCATCACACCTCTCACCTATCTCGTGTTGCGTGACGTCACCCATCGCCACTTCACTTCACCCGAATGTGTTTCTATGATGTCACCACCCCCATGTGAACCCCTCCATGACTCGTGACATCATCGCTCCACAACTCGGCCCAAATCTCGCGTGACGTCATCACTCATGTACCTCACCGACCTCGTGTCGCATGACGTCATCACCTATACCATGGGACTCTTTTGCCAGTATCAAAATATTTTCATATTCTTGGTTCTTTCGGTAAAGTCACGTAGAATGGAAATAATAAAATAATAAAAATAAAACATGAAAAATTTCTCACGACGTTTCGGCCACAACGCAAGTAGCCGTCCTCAGGTGGAGAACATTCTACGTGACTTTACCGAAAGAACCAAGAAGATGAATCCCTGCAGTCACGAAAGCTTTAAATCGAAATATTTTCATACTTTCAAAGTGTGAAAATATTTTGATACTTGCAAAAAAGGTCCCCTCATATAGCTGCTCACCCCGAGCCATAAATGATTCTCATACTTTGCATTGCCTTTGGCGTTCTCTGGGGGGCCGTCCATAAATTACGTCACACGATTTTGGACGATTTTTTTACCCCCCCCCCCCCCTTCGTCACACGGCGTCACAAAAAGTCAGACCCCCCTCAAATATGACGTCACAAAGCTCCCATCCCCTCCAAAAAAACATTTCTATTTTGAAAATAAAACATGCTTCAAATCGCTTTAAACTATTGTCATTGTAGCGTGTATTTAATGTGGCGCTGCACTCTGATGTTGTAGGAGAAAACATTTATTTAAAAGTATATTTAATTAAGTAGAACGTGTTGTCCATCTATATATATAAAATCGTTCATGTCTGTCTGTCTGTGTGTGTGTGTGTGGACTTTGGCCCATACGCACTTTCATTGGACGGCGGTTGCCCCTGGCAACGGCTAGCCACGCCTTCGCCGCTTTCATTGGACCTGGCAACGGCTAGCCACGCCTTCGCCAAGGGCTGCAGTTTCATTGGATGGCGGTTGCCCCTGCCAACGGCTAGCCACGCCTTCGCCACTTTCATAAGCTCCGTATTTAATTAAATAATAGCCATTACACAGTATTGTTGGAGCGCTAGGGGGGGGGGAAGGAACGCCACCCGTACCCTGCCTCTTCCAAGCCGACAATTTTAGGCGAGGCCGCAGGCTTTGCACGCTACTAGGCCTCGACACCCACCACGCCACTCTGAGGTAAATTCATCAAAGTTTTTCCTACTCTTCACTACACCCCCACCACAATGTGTGCTATTAATATTACTTTTAAACCCAACGCGCCAACAATCGATTACTTTAATGTTCACTGTACAAATACTCATTAAGCTGGGTGAGCGTACTGCCAGTCTATCATGTACACTGTAGCCTGCTTATTAAGCTCGGTGAGCGTACTGCCACTCTATCATGTACACTCTAGCCTGCTTATGAAGCTGAGTGCGTGTACTGGCAGTCTATAATGTGGACTCTTGCCTGGTTATTATAATCGATTCTTTATATGTTCTTTGTACAAACAGTCATTAAGCTGCTTGAGCGACCCCAGTTCCATTCCAACTCACGCCCACCACCGCTGACGATTATTTGAAACGGACCTGGCCCTCCCCTAGGTCCACTCAGCCTCAAAAGCGTAACTGCTGTCGTGTGTGAACATCGTCACTGGGGAGACAAAGGCGGCGGGGCATCGTGGATCCAAGTCCCGGGCGAAGCCGGGTCATGTGTATGTGTGTTTGTGTTTATGTGTATGTCTGTGTGTCTCTATGTATGTGTGTATGTATGTGTATGTATGTGTTTGTGTGTATGTGTGTGTATGTATGTGGGTTTTTTTTATGTCTTTATGTGTATGTCTGCGTGTCTCTATGTATGTGTGTATGTACGTGTGTGCATGTGTTTGTGTGTATGTATGTGTGTGTCTATGTATGTGTGTGTCTATGTATGTGTGTGTATGTGTGTGTATGTATGTGTGTTATGTGTCTGTCTGTGTCTGCATGTATGTGTGTGTGTATTGTGTATGTGTTTGTGTGCATGTATGTGTGTGTTTGTGTGTATGTGTATGTCTGTGTGTATGTGTTTGTGTGTATGTGTGTATGTATGTGTGTGTATGTGTGTGTATGTGTTTGTATGTGTTTGTGTGTTTACGCTCGCATTACACAAATGTGTTGCTGGTCTAAGGCGTTCCTCGCACAGCATTGCCGCTTTATTATTTCAGTCGTTTACTGCCTTACGCACCCTGAAAGTCGTGTGTGTCTGCAGCAAGCGCGTGTATGTGTACCTATGGACGCGCGCGCGTGTGTTGTGTAGGGGGAACGGTAGTGTAGTGCTTAGCGTGCTGTCTGTGTCTGTGTGTGTGTGTGTCTGTCTGTGTCTGTCTGTGTGTGTCTGCGTGTGTCTGTGTGTGTGTCTGTGCGTGTGTGGTGTGTGACGAGCGGTGGGTGTAGTGCTTAACGCTACGCTGCGCTACCAACCCGGCGAACCCAGTTCCATTCCCGCTCACGGCCACCACCGGTGACGATTATTTGAACCTCCCCTAGGTCGACTCTGCCTCAAACGAGTAACTTAACTACTGTAGCGTATTAACATCGCCACTGGGGAGACAAAGGCGGCCGGCCGTGGTAGATACAAGTCCCGGGCGAAGCCGGGTAGTACAGCTAGTATTTATTTAAAGTTGCGCATTTTGATGTGACGTCACATTTCTCAACCCCCCCCCCCCTCGTCACACATCGTCACAAATGTCTGACCCCCCCCCTAGGTGCGTGACGTCATTTATGGACGGCCCCTGTACACTTTCACTCTGGTTGAACCACATACGATTGCAGGTCCTGTCTCATCGTGCAGTAATGGTTGCCAAGCTTAGGGTCGAGTTGAGAATGCCCTGCCAAGAAGTCTGCCTTGCAAGACGACATTATCTCAATGGGTTCTTACACGACATTAATTTTGGGATTAAGGGAATTAGCTCTAGTGAGCTGCTCGAGGCGCTTAAAAGTCAGATGGGACGTCCTTAAAATAGGCGAACCCTCGGTGGTGAGCATGCAACCAAAATAAAATGTGTGCCATTGTCTTTGCAACCCCATTGGCAAATGCAAGAAAACTGAAGTTGTCCATCCAATTACCTTTTAACTGTCCCAAGAGCAAGGACTGGAATAGGTGACAAAGCCTTTGCCGTTGCAGCACCAACATTTTTGAACAACCTTTTTTCCCCCATTGGTGCCATAAATGTTCCTTCAAAAAATATTGCGAAGCAGAAGATTAGTGCTGGATACAGTCACATTTGCAAATATAACTTTGGCCATTGCCTGTGTGTCGTTAGTTCAATGTTAACGTGCAATTTATTGAGGAACTCAATAATTGTGTTATCTTTGTTGTTGTTTTTTGCCTTGCTCAATCTTGACAAATCGGACTTTAGTTTTGTTATTGTTCATATTTAGTGACATGCTTACCATTTCCTTTATTTTGCACTCATCTCGTTGTAACTTGCTGACCCGCCCATATTAGACATCCCTGAAAAATATCTTCATCGCTCATCGTATCCCTCCTGCAGTCTAAACAAAGATTCTCATTCAACGCAGTATCAACCACAGTCTCTCTCCAACAAAATATATATTTAGTTTTCGTCTTTTCAAGCGACATTTAACTTCTGCATCGTCGTCCGTCGTGGGGGGGACACCCGCCCTAAGGGACCCCCACGGGGGAGGCCCGCTGGGCGTGACCCCCACTGTGACGTCACGCCGTGTTTTTTCTCAATGGGGATCCTTCCGTGCACATGAGCGCGCTTCCACACCGCTGTCGCCGCCGCCCTTTTCTCTGCAGTTAACTCCTTACCAACGTTACCACCGATGCAACCATCGTCGTCATCATCATCATCATCATCGTCGTCGCCGTCGTTAACACCGTCGTTTGCATCTTAAGCGGACGCGCAACACACACACGAGCGTCATCACCGCGTCCATTTCCTCTGCCCGGGCGAACCAGGCCAAGCCAAGTGGCGTTCGAATTGAGCCTCTGCTCATGATGATTATAACAACAGGAGCCGCAATAATTAGCAATGCGACAAGGATGATAGGGGCGTTGATGATGATGATGATGTGATACAGCTGGCCCCGTGGGTTTCTGTGTGTCACCACTGCCCTTGCTGAACTCTTAGTGGGGGTTTTTTTTGTGTTGTTCGTGAGTATTTGGATTCGGTTCGGGTTATTGTGCTGGGCATTCTGAACAAAGAGAGACAAAGACGAATGCGGAGTTTGCCCGCCTGAAGGTGATGATGCCACGATCCAAGCAAATCAACCCGCAGCCTCTGAGCCGTGAGTAACACGTGTGTTGGGTGTGAGTCCCATTCATTTGTATACCATTGTGAGTGCAATATCCGAACGCACAAAGATCTGGGCAGAGGCACGTGTTTGTGCGTCCCATTATCTTTTGTTATACAAGTGACAACTTGTTTTATCCCTGTACAGCTGTGTGTAGGTGTGTATATGAGAATGGTTGATAGGCTTTTGTAATGGTCTCTTTAATGCGTGCATGTGACTGTAAATGCACTGGTATTTAAATTGTGTACATATGGCCAGAAACCCCAGCAACAACAGAACAAAAATAATACACCCCGGAAAAGCTAAGGTATTAAACACGTGCGCTGTCTACAAAAAAATATCAGCCTCAAGGATGATGCAAAACCACCAATTCCTGAGGAACTCCATTGTGCTCTTCGTCAATGTAATATTGTGTTGTTTTGTCCATAAGCAGCCTTGGTGTGTGGCTGTAACAGCATTTCGGACGACACAGTCCACTAATAGTACACGTGTCTAATGTATACACACAATATTACTATCCATATGCTGATGTGTGTGTGTGTGAGTGCACAATAAACACGATACATTAGCATTGACTGATCAGGCACTTGTTTGTCCGCGTCCCATTTATTGTGTAGGAGAGTAAACACGCCACGTCTAATCCACATTCAATATCTGAAGGCTGTACGGGGGGATCTTTGTTATGGGCTGATGGGACACGTGTGTTTGTGTGTATATTTGATGCATACAACACTCCTGTAATACGTGATGTTATCCTCATGCAGGTACACTTGAGCAATGCGTGATGGCACAGGTGTATGTCCTGTTAAGTAACTGGACATATGTGGGCAATGCACAGTGACGTGGGTCCGCTTTACCTATTTTTATTACAGTATACTGGATGCACGGAAGGTAATTATATTCCACGTAATTAATTGCACAATGCAGAATTATGGCTTATTCTCGTTAATCAGCTTTACGTGTCTAAAATAGCTCCTCGCACATGGACTGTCTCTGTGTGTTCGCGTCTCTTGTGTGTTTATTTATCTTAGTCGTACATTTCACGCAGTTACTGTGTGTTTGACTTCACATGAACATTGACTTTTTCACTTATGCATATACTGTATATGTTTGTCAAGAGATGTTGTCTTGCGTTGTGTTTGACATGTATGATCAGGGGACATCACACGTGTGTGTGTGTGCGCCATCACTGCATTTCATGCGTACCAGACCAGCCAGCACACACCTGCATAATGCACTGCTTCATATGCCTGGTTGATGGGCAGCAAGAAGGCAGTGCAGTAGAAAACAATGTTATACTGTACTTGTATGCTCCCCACATTATTGTGTGGTAAAAATAACCCCCGTCGACCGGCACGGCATAGGGAGGCCCTCTTCCAGCAGTGGATTGTCACACGGACTGTCATATGACCACCTTTTGAGCATTGACATTGTATGGCAATCAAGTAATGTTACAGCATTGTGATAGCAATGCTTAAAGCTACTATACAGCACAGTGTTGGGTAACAGGGCTGCCACACTGGTGAAATAATCAAGTTGCATTTGGAAAATGTGGTGTTGCATGCAAAAAGCTTCGCGATTTGAGTGCTCTGAATGCAACAGCTGAAAGTGGCAGCCTGCGGTTTTGCATGACATCACCATCAGCCATGATCGAGACCTTGGCCTCCCCAATTGACCATCGTTTATCATGATCCCTTGCGACGTAACTATCCACTTTGCACATGCACACAGGCTCATTTCATGACTCCATCTCTGCCGTAGATGCCATCCCGGGTGCATTCCCTCCATTGGCTGCGATTCAGGTTTTTTTGTATAATTTACAAGTGACCACCTTTCCTTCCAGTGACGTTTTCTGCTCAAGACCACTTATTGTTAACAGTATAAATTATGTCACTACCTCCACCCGTCCCCCGCATATGTTCACGAAGTTAGGATTTATATTTCCATTATTTTTAATTTTCTGAAAATGCACCAGATGGGGTTTTCCACTACTTTAGTGGGCCAAAACTCTCTGCCTTGTTCCCTTGCCTGACCTGAGTGATGTCTTTAGGCTGTAAATTCTAGTTGAGGTAGGGTAAGGAAGAGCATGTTCCTTCTCTTTTTCATAAGGTAAAGGTGCAGTCCTGTAATTTATCACGCCACTAATGGTAGAAGGGCCCATGTGCTGACCATTACACCAAGCAGCCACCCGCTCTTTATAAAGTAAGGCTTTCAATTATACATTTTATTGGTTGGCATAGTTGAATAGGGAAGGGAGGCTAGACTTAGAAGTTTTGGGCGTGTGTTGGGAGGAGATGTCACGAGAAAGGCGACAGAGGGTGCCGCTGGTGTCGGGCATAAGGAGTAGAGGGAGACTGAGGGGAGGGTAAAATGGAAGGATGCTGTAGAACACAATACGAGAACAGTGGATATGACCTCGAGAAGAGGCACAGAATAGAAGCACATTGAGAAAGAAAATCTGGGCATCTGACCTCATGCGCTATAATGAGACTTTTTGGCTTGGAGGAAGTTGAACATTGTGCAAATGTAAGCAGGTATTAAAGAAGATCACTCAGCTGTCAAACTGCACAGAAACCTAATTGTCCACTGCTTAACATGTCCTTAATGTTTAACACGTAGACTTTCGCGACCAATATTATTCATAATCAACGTTTTTGGGTTTAGATCGCGTTATTTATAAATGTGTCAACGTGACACTTTTTTTTTACTGATTGGCCGTGTAGGGTGGTGGAGGGTTACGACACATTTATAAATAACGCGATCTAAACCCAAAAACGTTGATTATGAATGTCCTTAATGGTCAGACTGCTGGTATATTCCAAGAGTATGTCAGTTAATATGCTTTCTACCCAGTAATACATACTTTGGCTTGTGGATGTGCACATTCGTGATTCTAGTTTTAAAGCACTTTATTTTCTCAGACCGGAGAGAATGTTGTCATAACAATATTTTAGGATTTGGCGATTACATATTATCACTCTATAAAAATGAATGCCAGAACTCACGGATATGAGAAAATCCGCAGGTTTATGACATAAGTCTTTACTGTTAATAAAAGTCTGCTTGGGAAAATCACATCGCCAGAATAAATGTCCAGTGGGCAATAAAAACAATTCCGTAAATGGCAGCAATGAGAGTGAATGTGCCAAAGAGGACGTCCACAAAACCATTATATATCAGCTCATGTGCAGGCGCTGGGTGTGGACTACTAATTGTCGATCTTTCATCCAGCTGTGGATTGATGATGGCTTATGTTTAAAATGTCAGGGGTAAAAATGCATTCCTTACACACACAAAAAATAAAGTCGGCTGGACCTCTATTGGGGGTCCAGGACTCCAGGATATTAGTATTGCTTTGTGCAATGAATGAAACCGATTGAATACGGGGATGTAAGAATGCAGTCCACAGAGAAAACAAGGTCATGCAATAAATAAATATCTGATAAGCTTTCATATGTATTAATCACACAGTGTGAAACATTTCCAAGGTCACAGACGGCTTAAATAATTATAATTATACTACTACTACTACGCTATAGTAATAACCAAATTGATCTAGTAATGTTTTTGAGGTCTGGAGGAAAGCCCCCCCACCTCTCCTTTCAAACCCATCAGCTGTAAATCCCACAGCATATGAGCGATGGTTTTCGCTATTGGCCAACACAATCGACCCGCCTACATCTGCGCCAATCCCCGCTCGCGTTTCCCCCGCTCCCACTGGAACGCGATGCCCACAAACCAATTGGGCACCTCGTGGTTGGCAAGTGGCGCGGATGTGATGTGGAAAATACACTGGCTCCTTTAACTGGGCCACGTCCGGCTCAGTCCATTTGTCAGCGGTGGTGGTGGGGGGGGGGATTTGACTGGGGTTGTCTCTGAAAACTTCAAATCTAGAATTGTCTCTGGTATTCAGAGTAAATGGGAGGGCTTTCCCCAAACACGTTTAATTTAAAAAAGACTACTTCTTAAAAGCCATTCCAATGTTATTTTTTAGGATTCCCCTTTGCTTTCGGATTCTTGTAAATGTGAATGCAATTGGAGGGGGGCCACCACCACCTCTACATTTGAGGTCACGACCCACGCAGGTTTACAGAGGAGGGAGGGAGGGAGAGGGGACCCCCTCCCCCCGCAGTTGCTTAGCAGAGACCCGAGGGCTTATTATGCAGAGCTCGCTATAGCAACAAAGGACGCTTGAATAAAGCCAACAGCGAGTGTTCGCTCGCATGCTTCTCAGATCGACTCTCTGGATATGCAACGTTGGCATCGAATAAACTTGCGATGGGGGTTGGATAGGGAGGAGGTGGAGAGAGAGAGTTCTGAAACGCTGCCAGAGCTCTATGCGTAGACATAATGGAAAAATGCTCCTACCCACCCCACCCCCAATCGCTTGTTCTGTGCAAGAGAGGGAGGCAGATGGCACAAAGGGTTAGGGGCTTGTGTGTGTGGTAGAGTCGGCGAGGCGTGAAGGACGTCCTCGAGCAAATCGGGAGGCGAAATCGAGGCAAACGGGGGGGGGGGGGGGCTTTTGGCTCCTTTTTGGAAACTTAAGTAAAACTGGTGGCATGAAAACGAGAAATAACTCGACGGAGGTAGAATAAGATGGGCCACCACGTGCGTGAAAGCCATCGGCTGTATGTCGTGTTTAAACGTTCGATAGATGCTTTGGCATTTGTCCGGTAGAAATAACACAAAAATAAACCCCCATAATGATACTGTCACAAAAAAGGCTTTTGTTGACACCTTTATGATTTGGTGGTACCGACTTGGCAGCGGTGCGAATGGTGCCCTTCTTTTCACGGTCGATGTTGCAGTGAGGGGTCATTCCCTGAATCGCAGCCTAATGCTTGTCCTTTTGCGACGCTGTGTTATTGATGAATGCAGCGAGTTTTTGTACAACACATGGAACATTTGACGATACAACTTGAGCAGTCTTCACCTCCGATAAAACAACTGCATTATTCTTAATCTATAACTGCTTGTAAGGTGTTCGCTGT